TGCAATCCTCCTACAGCTTTCGATGAAGTCAATCGACCAATCCCTTCCACCTGCCTTTGCAAACGAAATGACAGGTACTCTAACATCAGCCTAATAAGAAAGCCTTTGAAACCCAGTTTTTCTACATACCTAAGTAAAATATTTACTTTTATCTCTGATCCCAAATTGTTGACTTTATCTAACGATGTGTTACGATAAGGTTTTTCTGGTTTGAAAAGTGCAATTCAGTAAAAATAATTCCCAAAGGATTTACATTTATCAGTCTCACATCAATAAACACAAATGGATATCTCGGCTATCTCACACTGCATAAAGTACTTTTATCCTATAAATTTTAAATCATTATCTCTATTGATAATCCTTACGACTCTAGGCAAGTTTAATATAAAAGAGACAATGGGAGGAGAATTTGAGATTATCCCATTGATGAATTATGACCTATGTACCCATTCTGAACTCTTCATTATACTCTCTAATTTGCGCCTTCCTGCAGGTTTTGAATGTTACTGGATAATTTAGGAACTAGACGGTATTTTGTAAATGCACCTATGGATTACCGAAGCGAAGAAGATTTTTATGCCTATAGAGACTTGGTGAAATGGTAATTCTGCCAAAATAATTTTGCCAGAGCCTGTCTACAAATATTTATATGATATTGGAGGATTTATTCAGAAATAATGCGCTTTAGATACTTTCTTATTCGGTTCAACAGATCTCTGGCAAATACCCCTTCTATAATGTTATTAATGAGAAGTTATCGTAGTTTCCTCAGATCGCTGATCATCTCCACTCCATTTGGAATGCTAACAAAGCTCTTTTATTTTTATTCATTTACGAACACCGCCCACATTTCTATTAACTGTTGTTCATTATTTCCCTTGATGCAACGATGTTTCGTAATTAAACTAATTGAAAACTGTCTAATCAGGTATAATTGACGACAAAAATTTATACGAGTAATTTAGAAATTCAGTTCAGGAATTTAAACAAATTATGCTTTTTTGTAAGTATGACTTTGTATATGACCATTGAATGAGCCTACCTATTTACTCTCTAAATCTTATAGAAAAACATTTTTATACCTAATTGCCTCATTCTATCTATCACAAGTTATATTGTATTGTTGAAGCCAAAAAAACCTTGTTTCATGTACACTATCTTTAATAATTGCCTTTGTAAAATTAACAATAATTTCTCTAAATAGCCCAACGATAAGTTGTACTTTTTCTCAGTTAACTACCCATAATTAACACTTACACTTAGTATATCTTAATATAGATCGCGCTTTCTTCACCCCGGGATGGGGCAGAACCGCTCATTTCATTACCTATAACGGGGCGTCAGGCTCAATACAATATGAAATGGGTTCTCGAATCCTTTTGGCTCGAACTCCACATAGCTGGCCGTTCACAGTTCTATTCATTGCTGGGAAAGAGGAAAATGAGTGGTCACTTGAAATAATCGCTGGCAAAGCACATGTGGTTGTCGTTAATAATGGAGACGTGAGTCAACTTTTATTGCCTAATTCATTACGCATATGAATATGCTTTCCACAAGAAATTTTGGTTCATAAGACGGGCCCGGGCATTATAATTTTTAGCAACTTCTATCTCAGATAAAATTTATGAAACAATACAAAAGTAAAAGGTTGTTTGACCTTGTTTTCGCAACATGGTTATATTGGTAGGAAGACTTAGAGGAACGCCCCTAGTCCG